TGGGCGTGGGGCGGTGCCGGGGGCCCCGCCGTCGTGATGAATGTACTGACAGCCGAGGCCGCAGCGCCCCCTGCGCCCCCTGCGCCCCCACGCCCACTAACCCCCACGCCCCCATTCCGCGCAATAAACGACCGCATTGGCGCCCCGCCTGCCCGCGTCTGATTACTCTGGCGACCCCGGGTGGGCGGGCGCCCCGGGACCCCCAGAAGGCAGCGGCTCTCGTGGGTGGCGACAGAGCTTTATTTACACGGTGGCACAGGGCGCCGCGGGGACGCCCGACGTCAGCTGAAGAAGTAGGTGGAGCCCTTCACCTGCTCCAGGTTGAAAGCCCCTGCGGAGAGAGAGGGGACGTCGGCGGGGCGGGGACAGACCCCGGGGAGGGGCCCGGGGAGGGGCAGGGTCCGGGGACAGACCCCGTGGAGGGGCCCGGGGAAGGGCGGGGCCCGGGGAGGGGAGGCTCCCGGGAGGGCCGGAGCACGGGGAGGAGCGGGGTGTCTGGGGAGGGGAGGGGCCCTGGGAAGCCCCGCCTGCGCCCTACCTGTCTTGGGCACCGACAGCAGCGTGTCCAGCAGCCTGGAGACCCACACGTTCTTGGACGGCTTCGGGGACCTGAAGCCGAGCGCAGGGCGGGGGTGAGGCCGGCGGGACGCGGAGTGGCGGTCGCGGCCGCGCTGGGGCGGGGCGAGGGGGGACCTCACCTGGGGCCGGAGCAGAACCGCTTCACCAGGAACCTGGAGAGGTCGTGCAGGATGGGCTGGCTGTGCAGGCGGACGAACTGCTCGCGGCACACCTGGCGGGGGGGGGGAGCGGGTGTCAGGAGCCGTGACCCGGGCCGAGGGGCAGGAGGGGTGGGCTCGGAGGTCAGGCAGTGCTCAGGGGTGGGGGCCCAGATGATGGCCGGACTGAGGTCCCGCGTGGGGCGGGCCACGGGGCCAGGGGCCTCCGCCCTCATGGGGAGGGGCCGGGGCCGGGGCGGCACCTGGTTCATGACGGCGACGTCGGCCGCGTGTGTCCAGAAGCAGTCGTGCACGGACACGAAAGTCAGGCCCTTCCTGCGGCGGGGCGGGGGCTCCGGTGAGGGGGCCGCCCCTCCGGCCCCCACCATCGACACCCTCCCCAGGCGCCGCCCAGCTCCCCACCGCCGGGCTGGGGGCTCGGGCCCACCACGCACCCCCCCCACGCCCCACCCCTGCGCGCTCCGCATCTGTCTGTCGGCCACGTCCCCTCCGCGTGCGGGTGAAGAGTTCTCATCTTGGGAGAAAACCCCTCTGCCCACGTCCGTCCTGCCCCGCCCCCCACCCGCTGCCCGACTGATTCTCAGCGCCCTGTAGGGGCAGCTCTGCCGCTGGGCGCCTCTGGGGGCTCAGGATGGAAACCCAGAGGCCTCTGCCCGCCCCACGAGGCTCGTGCCCCCAGGTTTAGCCACACACTGCACTACCGGCACGCCCCTGGATGGGGTGGAGCCTCCGGAGCTGGGGCCACAGGGACCACCAAGGGCCAGTTACACTCAGAGTGACCGCCCCTTCCCTCCCTGCCCACCAGCCGCTTCCCCATCACTCACACCTGGCTGCCTCAGGGCCTTCGCACCTGCTTACAGTCCTCTCCTGGGCACCAGGTGCCACAGACCCACATGGCTGGGGTCCTTGCCGGCTGCAGGCCTCTGCCCCGGCCCCTGACCCTGTCTCTCAGGGACACAGCATCCCCCTGCAGGGCCTGGCCTCACAGCCTGTCCCCACTATGTGGGTCCCCACCGTGTCCTGGGTTACTGAACGCGGGGGAGCGGTGCAGTCCACCTGTAGCAGTGCAGGGCCGTGAGCATCATGTGCGAGGAGTCCAGCGAGTGGATGAAGTTGGGCGGGAAGCCGTTCTTCTGCTTCAGGGTGTTGGGCTTCCTGGGGGCGGGGCACTCGATGCCTTTCCCAGGGCGACGGAGGTGGCTCCATGGCCCCGGTCCCCCCAACTCCTTGCCCCAGCCCTGGCACCCCCCAGCCCTCACCAGACCCCCTCCCCCTGGTGCCGCAGGCCCCTAGTCCTCGCCAGAGCCCCCCTTGGTGCCCCAGCACCCCAGCCCCCCCAATCCTCACCAGACTCCTCCCTGGTGCCCCAGCCCCCACACTCACTGGCTGGTGTCCCCGCTGCTGCTGAAGGTGAGGCTCTGGATCCCGCCGTTGATCTGCAGGGCGGGGCGGGGCGGGGTGGGGGGCGGAGGCGTGAGTCCGGCCCTGAGGCCGTGAGGGGGCGGGTGGGGGGCAGGGGAGCTGCACGTACCAGGATCTTGGACTCGTGGTGGTACGGCTGGATGATGGGGATGCCCAGAGGCGTCACCCACTCCACGGCTGAACCCGTGTGGGCGATGAGCCGGGCACTCTCGGTCAGCCAGCGCTGCGGGGAGGCAGGGGGCGGGGGAGGAGCACGGGCTCAGGACTGGGCTCCGGCCGGGGTAGCGGGGGCCAGAGGGGACCCGAGCCTGGGATGGGGGGCGCACCTGGATGGCCCGGGTGCCCGAGAACATCTCCTGGAGACTGTGGAACACCTGGCGCACGAGGTAGTGGGAGGCCTCCCACACGAACTCCTGGGGGGCGGCGCGGGGTGAGCAGCGGGGCCTCCACGCCTGCCCCCAGCAGCCCAGGCGCGGCCACCTCCCAGACTGACCCGGGATCCTGACGCCCTCGGCCCCATGTTCCAGACAAAGAAACTGAGGCCGGGCCCGAGGAGCAGCACGAGCCCCCTCCTCAGAGCTGCCTGCTGCCCGGCGGCCGCCGTTCGAGGGCCGCGGCAGGCTGGGTCTGGGGCGAAACTGTCTCGTTTTGTGAGACGTCCTCGCCCCGGCGCACCTGGGGGAAGTCGCTGAGCTCCCGCAGCCGCTTCTCGATCTGCAGGCGGCCGCCGTAGCGGGTGACCCCATACACCACGGTCATCACCGTCTGCTTCACCACCTTGCGGCCGATGAAGCCCTCCAGCACCTGGGCCACCCGCACGCCCTGCTTGGCGTCCTGCTGGCGGAACACCTCCACCTGGGCAGGCGTGGGGTTGGCGGGGGTCAGTAGTAGGTGGGGCACACGCACCCCGTCTTCCGCCCTGTTTAGCAGCCCTGAGGCCCCTTCTCTTGTGAGCCTCACTGTTCTCCCGACACCTCCCCCAGCAATCCACCGGGATAGCCCAGTCACATCACGGGTGACTATACCCCAGGGGTCTGCAATGCCCACGTGTCTGCAGGACAGCGACCCCGGCGGGCTGTGGGGATGAGAACGGCTGGGGCCCGGCATGCCCACCTGCGCAGCCACCCCGCTGTACACATCCTGCGGCAGGTCGGAGGGCATCAGATTGACGGAGGCGGCGCCCACGCTGTCCCGGCCCAGGGCGGCGTAGTGCTGCAGGCCGTTACAGGAGCCGTCCTGGGGCGAGGGGGCCGTGAGGGGCGAGACAGGGCAGATGGGCAGGTCCACGGGCACGGATCCCAGCCCTGTGCCTCCCTGGCACTCTGCTCACATCACCAGGTTGCTGGACCCTGATGCTAAGAGGGTTCCCCCACCACAAAGGGGAAACCGAGGCACAGAGAGGCAGAGGATGAGCCTGCATGGGGCCATACTGGGGCTAGCCCCCACACACGGACACCAGCAGACACAGTGGGATGTGCAGGAGCTGGACACCCACACCGTCCCATGGAACCTCAGACCCGAGACGCCTCAGCTGGGCCCCCCATGGGCCGGGCCCCCTGCACCCCGGGCCCCCCAGCTCACCTGGTGAACCGGGAAGTGGGAGATGTGGGCAGCGGGGTCAGGGGCACGAACAGCCTGGGCAATCTCCATGCAGCAGGCCAGGGCTTGCCAGGGCTCGTCCGCTTCCATCCACCACTTCCGGCCCTGCGGGAGGGCGGTCAGAGTGGGGCTCGGGCCGGCCTGGCCGGGCAGGCTTCCTGGGCACCCAGTGAGGACACAGGGAGGCGGGGACAGAGCCCCCGGGGCTGGGGGAGGCGGATGTGGGCCCGAGGGAGCAGGCACGGGTCTGGAGGGGGACCACCCTGGAGTGAAGAGGGGGCAGAGCTGCTGCCAGGCAAACAGAGAAAAGACCAGAAAAAAGACGACGCCACGCGTCTGCCCTGAAAAGAACCCAGCAGGGAACTGAGGGGACGCCCGGAGGACGTCCGAGGGGGTGCTGAGGTGGCAGGGCCAGAACGAGGAACAGGCCCGGACACAGGCAGGGAAGGAGGAGGACACAGGCGGGGAGTGGGGAGGACACGGGCGGGGAAGAGGGAGGACACGGGCGGGGAAGGGGGAGGACACGGGCGGGGAGTGGGGAGGACACGGGCGGGGAAGGGGGAGGACACGGGCGGGGA